GAGAGCAAATGTAGACCACTAATTTCTGACACTGGGCAGGAAGTATAAGCACCCTTACAGGTATTGTACCCTTCTCAGGAGGACACCAACAAAGAGGCACTTGGAATTCACATGCTGCCAGTAAAGCTGTTTGGCCACATTTATCATTCCTTCATCCATGCTTTGGCCAAAGAGGATGACCCTGTCCACCTGTAAGATGAAAGGGGAGAAGATGCTAGAGAAGGGATGCTAGAGAACCCAGGACATTAAGATATGAGCTTTCTGAGGACAGGAGGATTAGGAGAACTCTGAGAGGAGTACCTCTCCTGAGAGCACATAGAATGAGGGAAGCCACTACACTTTAACTTACAGGGGACATCGGGGACATCAAAGTGGAGGTTGGAGTGGGGCATTGGTATACTTGTAGCTGGCTCATTCAGGCTCAAGAGAGCTGATTGTTAAGTTTTCAGGAATTTTGTGGGCAGTTGTTAAAGATGGACATTATTAAACATCAAATGGTATACATTTAAAAAATCAAATAAGTTATATTTAAAACAAATGTGGCTGGGCATGTTGACACACACCAGTAGTCCCAGCTACTTGGGCGGCTGAGGCAGGAGAATCACTTGAGCCCAGAAGTTTTTTGCAGTGAGCTATAATCGAGCCACTTCACTCCAGCCTGGGCAACGGAGTGAGATCCTGTCTCAAAAAATAAAAATCAGAAAATAAAACAAATGTAATAAATACTCAAAATGCATAACTTCCTAATAATTTTACTACATTTTACTACTACCTACTCGTGCTTATTTACATCTACTGTATCAGGATTGTGAGAATATCACACAGCAGTGTGCTCCTAAGCATCTTTTCCCAACTCTGTGTTCAGTAGCATCATGTTGGTAGCTTGAAATCAGCCACGGTAGGACTGTTTACACCATGGAAATTTAGCAGATGCTATTAACCGAGGCTTATTTTTCTAGGCAGCTGGTTGTTGAATATTTACCAGCACACCACTGAGTAGGGGGTTGTAGCCAGTAGAGAGCTGATCTGACTATTTTATGTGGTTGGAGAAGTCAGCTTTAAAGGTCAAGAAATGAAATATATCAGTTGTAGAGGAAAATGTGGGGGAGGGAGAGGGTTTCTCAGGGATTAATACTCACAGGAACCCTTTGGCCAGCCAGAGACAGCAGGTATTTCCCAAAAGCATTCAGGGACCATTCATCATTTTCATCAAACTCCTGAAGGAAAGAGACTTCATGTTATGTGGTTGCACAGTAAGCAACAAACACTGCAGTCTTGCAGTCTGCTTGGGAAATCTTCAGAACTGTGTATATCTGTGCCTTTACCAAATATCTGGGCTATTCCCAGGCCTGTGTTCTTCATGTATTTTTGGATGGTGGGTGTTGAGTATCTGACCTGGACTTGAGCCTGGAGTCTGATGGCAGTCTTCAGGATGCCTTCTTCTGCCTTAAGCACTGCAGTCTTCAGAGTGTCACCTCCACACAGCATGACATCCACCTGCTCGGCCCTCGTGATCATCATCCCAATCAACAGCAGCGCATAGTTCAGTGGAGGCTGATTGGACAAGTGTCAGGGGAAATAAAGCTCCTCTGCTTTGGAATTCACCCTTGCCCAGCCAGCCCTGGAGGCCAAACCCTTCCACTAGTTTGAGGGAATAAGAAAAGGCGTAAAATCCCAAGTTAGGAGGGGGCAGCTTCAGCAGCCCTCAGGAAGAGCTGACTGTGGAGGGAGGAAGAGAGGAGCCAGGATCCCTGCCCAAGTTCAACCCTGGGATGTAGCGAGATCAAAGTGAGACATATTTTGGTGGATGGAAATTTAGAGAGTACCAAGTACCAGCCAAAGGGGAAATGTTAGTATTATAATCCATAAACCTGGTTGAAACAACATCCTAGGAATTGTCCCTAGGAACTGAGGACTGATACTTGGAAGCAAATTCGTATCATTTATTTCAGTCGGAGTGCTTGCCTGGGAAAACCAGCTCTGGGAACAGGATACCACTCAGGATCCCCAGCATCCTGCCAACCCAACCCCTTGGAGGATGCTTTTTACTTTCTTACCCCTTGTGGGTTGCTCTTTGGACAAAGCCTGTCTGCATTAGCATATGTCGGATAGACCAAGATGGTGCGGCCTGGCAGCAGGGGCAAGCTGTGCTTCACAGAGAGGTTCACAGCTGTCTCCAGGGCCTGTCGGTACCTGTTCAGCATCTCACCATCATATTTCCACTGTCTACAGGCAAGAAAGACACAGACACAGGGGCTCAGGGACTTATCTGCCCCTTAGAGGCAGACGGGGAGATGAGAACTTGCCACTAAGTATTGAGTCTTCTCCCTCCCTCAAGCACTACACCCCCTTCCACAGCCCACTCCATTTCTGGTGTAGAGGACTAGGACAGAACTTCCCTAAGCCTCCATTCTATGGGATTCTTCTAATCCACACTCATGGTAGGAGAGGGGAAGTCATCTGTGGATCCACTAGCTACACTTACCACATGAATCCATTCTTACTTCATGAAGCAAGATTTAACGGCTACATAGTTTTAAATAGTATTTTAAAAAACAAATGCTAACTCCTTACTCTGAAAACTGACATTTTAAGGAGAATAAATTGAATATTCATCCCACCTTTCCCATACAATCTATTTCAGGGTAACTAAATAAATATAGTTGTTTAGTTACCCTGGGAGGCTGTTTTTTTAAATTCCAGTTAAAAAATATTGAGGAATGATAAAACCCTCATTCTGCAACCACCAATGAAACAATTGGTTCACGCAAAGATCACCAAAGGATGAGCCATTAACTACTGTGGAGAGATGAGGCTATTACTACCTAAAAGCGCTGATCAATATCAGCATTACTGAGTAGTAGTCCCACTTAAATAGTACATATATAGGATCACCTATGAACTACTTGAAAAAAAAAAACAAATCTAAATCTGTTCAAGCCTTTAGAGCTAATGCCCAGTGAACATGAAATAGAAAAACAAGTTAGATGACATCATGAAGAAGGAGGGAAATCCAGAATATGGGATATTCTGTGGGGTCCCTGAACCTGGTTTTCATAGTAGCTCAATGGCATAAGAACAATTAAAAGATTAAAAGTGACATAAGAGACTTAACAACCAAATGTAATGTGTATACCTTGTTTAGATCTTGATTTGAATAAAACTGTGAAACGATATTTTTAAACAATTGGAAAATTTGAATATGGACTAAATAACAGATGATTTTACCAAGGAATTATTTTTAGTTTTGTCAGGTATATTAACGACATTCTTATTGTATTAAAAATGTCCTTTTTTAAAGAAACACACACGAAATAAGGAAAGGTGAAATAAAATGTGTCTTATTATTTGACATTTGTTTTAAAAATATCTTCAAATGAAAAGAAAAAGGAAAAAAGATCAGTAAAGAAAATGTAGGCTGGGCACGGTGGCTCACGCCTATAATCCCAGTACTTTGGGAGGCCAAGGTGGGCAGATCACAAGGTC